ATGAATGTCGTGATGTTCTTTGAGACTACTCCATTAGGGTTCATCGCACGTACCTGCTGTGATCTAGGGACATGTTTTGACAGGTTTTAGTGTAATCAGATCCATACTTTCCTTATAGTAGATTACCAACAGATGCTAAATATCTTTCCAAGAAATATATCTTCCAAACAAACTGAAAAAGAAGCATTTTTTTTTTTAACACCGTGTTTCCTGTAAAGTCTCCACCCTGTGCCAACTCAAAAGTGATCGACAATTGTGATGTAATATTGAAAATTGTCAGCACTGAAATCAAAGTATTATTGTGTGATTGCAAACAGTTTTTGTTTTTTGTGCTTGTGATTTTTATGTGGGATTTTCAAGTGAATGTTTGGAGTGAGAAAAGCTCAATAATGGACCCAGATATTCACCATTTGTGGTCAGGTATTGTGACATCTTATACCTGTCAAAGATTTCAAGGAGAAATTTCTGAAATGTCCAAAATTTTCTCCTTGATACTCATTTGTGATATTGCTTGATATTCTTGTCTGAGAAGACCTCTAAAACCAGAGCTCAACACTGAATCCCAAATTAGGCAATGTTGAAAATGTTCCCCAACTTGGAACCACAGTCTCAGAGTGGGAAGCAGCTGTGAGGTATTGGTTCATTCCCCAAAGTCACTCAGTGTTAAGTATCTCCAAACCTGAACAGACGTATTCTGCCCTGTGTAAAGTGGAAGCAGCTGTTTTTGTGAAGCTTTACACAATGGCTTAACTCTACATGTGCCGCATTTTATTGCATAAGTTGTACAACAAATTATGACACGTTTTACGAAAGTTTCACAGTGCATAAGTTCACAACTTCTGGCATAATTTACACATTTTTTGAGGTGGCATAATTGTGCCAAATCGATAATGAATGATTTTACTAACTAATCTTGTTCATTACTGTTCATCATGGTCAGCATTGCTTTTGCTAAATAAGTTATACAAACAGTGTAAACCTTGTTTTTGGAGGTAATGAAGAACTTGTTTGGTTGTATGAGAACTTTGAGATTTCCTGCCTGGTACCAATGAAAAAAAGAAGAAAACTTTTTCAAAATCCTGAGCAGGGATAATGTAACAACTGTTTTATGACTAATGCAGTATTGAAAAGAAACAGCTGTCATATAACCCGTGATCATCATCTTCCAAGAAGTTTATTAGAATTATGTGATACAGATAGGACTAGCATTTAATATTTGTCTCAATTCGTGTGGTATTCAGCAACCTGCCCAGGGAAGAACTCATAGTTATGGTCACGCATTAGACTTGGTTATCACTTATTCGTCATTGGATTTTTTACGATCATTAAATGTACTAGATTATGCATTGTCAGATCATTTCTTGATAAAGTGCAAGCTTTACGTTGTGAGACCTAAGCGTAAACACGTGCTTATTACCTGTCGGATAGTATGCAATATTGATCATGAGCAGTTCATTGCAGATATTTATCTGAAATCTCCAATTGTAGACGTGACTGCTACCACTGATTAACCAAATGGAAAAAGTAGTCATTCATAAGTTCAGCTTCAGCAATGGTACTACCAGATCTCATCAGTGACAGTCAAGGGGACAGCCATACAATATTTGGGGTATTTTAGACAAGTTGCTTGGACGGAAAAAAGTTAACACTTTACCTGCTAATACATCTAAGTCAGCATCTGATATAGCCTATGTTTTTAGTGATTTTTTTTCGGCTGAAGATTAAAAATATTCGAATCAAATGTGTTGAAAACATGCAGTTGTCTAAGCTTAACCGAGTTGATATTGATAGATGTGCTATGTCTACTTATAAATTGTCTCTGACTACTGTTTTATTAAATTTCATTGAGAAAATTATCCATCGGCCTTCTCCTAAATCATGTGACGTGGATCCTGTTCCATCAGATTATTAAAATCCTGTCTTTCAGTTGTACTCCCAGCAATCACATCGATTATAAATTCATCTATTATGAATCAGTTTTATTTTAAGAAGAAGTATGCAGTGAATGATGTTGAGAATCTCAGCAACTACAGTACAGTACTTGTACCAACCTATCACTAATAATAAGTACAAGCTTAATGAAAAACTTCAGTCAGCTTATCATAAGTTCCGTGGAACAGAAACGGCCTTACTACATACTCAAAATAAGATTCGTCTCAATACAGACAGAGGAAATATTATTACCTTGGTTGCTCTAGATCTTAGTGCAGTGTTTGATGCACTTGACCACAATATTTTACTAAAATGCCTTTAATCACATATCGGAATGACACAGAACACAATACGTTGGTTTGAGTCCTACCTCATTGACAGGATCAATTAGAATATGCAAAGATAACAAGATAGGAATATCAGAGTGTCCACTGGATTATGGCGTTCCACAAGGGTCCGTTCTAGAGCCAGTGTTTTTTAACATATACATGTACTTTGCCTTTGGGTCAGGTTATTAGGAAACATACATGTCATTTTGAAGCTGATGATACCATGCATTTTATTTCCTCCACACCCTCATCTTATGATGTTCAGATGAAAATGAGTGTTGTTGAGACGTGTTGAGCTGACATTCAGCATTGGATGGTGTCTCTTTATATGAAAGTAAAATATCAATGAAGCAAACATCTTAGTTGTTGGTACATCCACAAATTTGAAGAAATCCCCCACAGTGCTTAGTTACTGGTGTCTTGAAGACTGTCAGATTAATGCTGTTAATAAATTTAAACATCTGGGAGTTAATGTGGATGAGAATATCAACATGCAGTATCACATACGATAGGTGTTGAGAGATGCAATCTATCATTTGCATAGTATTTAAACAAATAATGTATCAATTATTCAGCTCTGGAGATAGTAATTGTTATGTTGGTCATGTCTCATATTGATTATTGCAAATACCTTGTGGGTTGGCTGGTTCGCCTAAATCAATACTTGATCTTTACAGCATGGTCAAAACTGCACCACTCGACTTTTAACTGCTACAAAGAAAGTGGAACATATCTCAGTTTTATTACCATTGCACTGGCTCCCTGTATGTTGCAGGATTGAGCATAAACTTTGTTTTCTTGTTTTTAAATGTCTAAATGGTCTCGCTTCGGAACATCTTCAAGCTTTGATCCGTACTGTTAGCTCTACCTCAAACAGGAATACTTGATGATTATCTGATCAAACAAGGCTTTTTCCTAAAAGAACAAGACTGCACACATTTGGCAACCTGGTGTTCTCTGTTGTTGCTTCAAAATCTTGAAGTATTTAAAAATAAACTAAAACCTTCCCTTTTCAGAGAGGCTTTTACCCACATGCTATAATTGTACAAAACTGTTATTTTACTTAATGATGCATTTTATATTTTTGAGATGTTAGGTATTCTAAACCCATCTCCTTTTGGGTGAAGCTTTGAAAGTATGTTTGGGTTAGATGATTGCCAGACTTTTGAACTTTAATTGTGTTGTTTGTATGTAATTTTTGTAATGATTTAACTGTAACATTTTTCATGTTGTAACCTTGCGCCATGTAGCATTTACATGAACTTGGCGCTCTATAAATGTATTGGTGTTATTATTATAAAGATGTAGCTGAGCAACTTTTATGAAATTGATTATGGGCACGTCGCTCAGGTACAGCACAAATCTGTGGCACAAGGCTTAAATGCAAATTTGCAATTTTCCTATTGTTTCAGTATTTCACAGTATGTGAACGGTCAGAGATTCTAGTGGTGGTGAGCTAGGCACAGAGTATGTGGAGGACTTACATGCCGTGTGTTTTGTCTGTATGGTACAGGTATCACTTTTTTTCCTCCGTCTCTGTGAATGATGACCATTGGCATCATTTGGCCGTCTCGTGGGCGGAGCATGGTGGCATCCTCAAGATTTACAGAGACGGGCAGCCAAGACTGATACGCGCGTCAATGAGACCCAATGCCAAGATCCACAGTGGAGGGGAGTTCATTCTGGGAGAGTTACGTAATTCTGGTGAGCATTGTTTGACTTTCAGTTTAGCAATATGTGTATCCCTTTGTCTGAGTTCTTTTGCTTTTGTTCTGAGTTCAAGTCTTGGCAGAGGTGTATTTTTTCACTCATATGCTAACAAAGAATTTCTGGGATCATCTCGATATATCTAGTTACTACTAAGATGGTACCATACTTGTATGTACCGTGGGTGTTACAAATTTTGTTCAATGTGTTTTTGACCACTTAGGTAGTATGACTTACCAAAATGAATGCACTCCTCTGGTTTGAGAATATGGAGCATATCTCATGGTGCTGATCAGCTCCAACAGGGAGATGAGAGGGGTAC